GTTATTAAAACAAAATTATACAATCACTGTTATTGAAATAATATTATGGTTGTAGACATAATGTCATACAAATCCCGCAAGAAAAAACACTGTTATTATAAACTGAAAATTATTACGTAGGAAGAAACATTGTCATAGTATACAACAACACATAAAACATCATTATTATACCATTGTCACTGCTAAGTCACATTAACTAAAGCATATAAACCAACAAACCACAGTTACCACTCACTTCAAAAACCACATCAAAACGTTAACTATCTTACTTTGGTCATCACTAATAAAATAAACTTAAGACACAATAGTAATAGAACATTTACCACTAACACTATTAATCGAGACATGTGAACAAACAAAATCAAAACACAGAATAAACTAACCCCTAATGGATTTACTACACTCTCTACGAGAACCAAAGTTATCCTCCACCTTTCAATTTACCATCAAACAAACTCCTCCAAAAAAATTATCTATAGTCGGATTACCGACCATCGCACTAAGATACCCACAGTCGATTTACCGACAGTCAGAATGGGTTATCATCAGCACATAATTTACTTCACTATAAAACACTTTTCGGCTTACAAAATTATTCCAACATAATTGCTCAAATAATACATTAGACAAACAAGGAAAAATCCAATATAGTATCCCAAAAATATATCACAATCAAAAATATCAAATATCAAAAATCAATTATATTAATCTAATTATAGTCATAATGATTGAAATGTTATTAACTATGGAACCAATCTACATAGAATCTACTAATCCGGTACAATATAATTCATTGAACCCAACATTACAAAATCACAACAACCAACTATTTTAGGAATTACAAATAAATCTAAACACCTTATAAACTTTTACAAACAACATGCAATAGAAAAACCAAAGTAAAACACAAATGTAAAATATGTATTGTAAAACTTTTATTTTTACCAATTACAAAAATATTCAAAGATAGAATTGTTAACTATGGCAAAATATGACACACGACAGCCTTGGAAACTCTTCGTCCGCTCGAAGTGATGAACCAGCAACGACGACAACCGGATAAAGAATTTCTAGCTGACTCTGCAACAGGAAAACAAATATGTATAAAAACCCCAAACTACCAAATAAAAGCGTTCAGTCTTTCCGATATCACTTGACTCTATTCATTTCGAGAGCTTGGAGAAGAAGGTTGCCCACTCTCGACCACCTTACACCATACACTGTAGGAGCAGAAGGTTGCTCTATTGTTTCCATCTCTCCCCTCGATCGGAGCAGAAGGTTGCTCGACCGAATTCCCTCCCAATATAACGTGGAGCAGAAGGCTGCTCACATTATATTCAGCAACCTCCTCGATTCAATTTCCTGGGACTGAACCATCGATGCCGAAACGAACACGAAGAGCAGGCCGAAAATACCAGCTGAGAAAACTCATCGCTCAATTCTCGGATCCTAGGATCGAACCAGTGAACCTAGACGCTCTCTTGGGAACCAAGTCCCAAGGAATATCCATACAGAACTCAGAGCCTGTACAGTTCCAAATCTCGAAAGATCCAGCGGGTCATTTCCGGCTAATCCAACGACCTCCCCTTGCCCAGCAGGACGAAAAAATCAACTCTCCATCAGAACCTACTCCACCAACCAGGGGATACTTTACGAGCGACCACTCTGTCCAGGTACAACAGCCGGATTTTAGGCCTCACTGCCCAGTACAACTCTCTGCAGCATCAAAGAAGTTCTTCGCAGGACTTAAGGAGAAATTGCATCTGCTTGCACGAACCTCAACAAACTAAAGGTGAGTGAAAAAATCTAATCTATTAAAAACTCAATTGCGCGAAAAATAGGCAAATCCCTCGAACCTGTCGCGTTCGAAAAAGTGACACAACCATTTCACGTCAGTTTAACTCTAGACGTAACAAGAATTTTGGTGGCAGCGGTGGGATTGTCACACCTTTTTCTCGCGTTTTTCCTATTAAATCAATATAAAAATGAATCACGAAGAATTAATGACCCTCGCGGAACAATTAAAGAAAAAACAGGCCTTACTAGACGACAGGGAAGCCGCGCTAGAGATGAAAAGTAGAGACATAGTGTCAGCCCAACGCAAAGTAGAGTCATTAACAGAAATAGAAAACGAACTAACCGAGAGAGAAAGAGCTGTTGTCGAAAAAGAGGCTCACGCTAATGAACTACTCGCTAGATCTAGAGAAATACACGAGAATCCAGAGAGATTTAGTACAGAAGAATCACAAGAACTTAACGAAACTATCCTCTCTCAAATCACGGAATTACAAGAAGAGTTAGCTCGCGTAAAAAGACTCGCATTAAGACCTCCCAGGACAGACCAGACTCCATCAGTAACAATAGCACTTAAGGATGCTCTCGCGTACGTCCCCATGTTCGACGGAATGAATCTAGAAGTGTCTCAATTTATAAAATCATGCAAAAGGGCCTGTACAATGCTTCCAGATCACGTAATCGCTATTTTTCTAGAGTTAATTCGACAAAAATTTAAGGGTAGGGCACGAACTGCAATCGAAAATTTAGAATATGATAATCTAGAGACACTCGAAACGCGCCTACGTGAGGTATTTGATCCCTTAATGACGGTTAATCAATGTAAAGCCGCTTTAGAAAATATGTCCAAAGGACCTCAAGAACACATCATTGATTACGTCAATAGATCGCGTACTTTCCACGGGAATATCCTCAATCTTGAAAAACAGGAGAAAAACAGACCCCTATCGATCTATGAGAAACGTAAAATTGAAGATGACGCTATCTCAGCATTTTTAAACGGGATACCACCCCTGTTGCGGACAGTATGCAGGTTACTGCCCCATAAAACGATAGAACAAGCGTACACTAGTGCAATAGCTGTCTATAAAAATCATATCAGAGACATGGAACGGTTTAAAACGCAAGGACGAATATTTCAAGTACTTGCCGATCCCCTACAAGAACCCTCCAATCAAATCTCCACCAGGGAGTATTCAAAAAGGCAACATGAGTCGGTAAAAATCGAAAAACCCCAAATCAAGTGCGATTTTTGTGGATATAAAAACCATACTGTAGAAAATTGTTTAAAAAAAATTAACGCAGCTAAAAGAGCAGAAAAAACTGGGGAAGATTCATACAATCCCGACTCATATTGCCAACTATGCAAGGTTAAAGGACACGATCTCACCGTCTGTCGAAAATTTGAATATTTCAGTCGAAAAAGAAATCAAAAAAACGAGTCCACCCCCGGGCAGAAAAAGAACGAGACCCCGGGGGAACAAAAACCAGTAACCCCGTCTGTGTCCAAGCAAACGGAACCCCCAAAATTACAATAGCGCGTATTTCCCTGCACGAAGAAAATGTCCCAGCTGTCACGTTGAGATCACCCGACCTAAAAACAACAGTCGTGATAATGCTAGACACTGGAGCCGAAGTAAACTTATTAAAAATCGGTTGCGTCAGAAACACGAATAAAATAGATAGAGAAAATATCTTACGGTTACATGGTATCACCAACACAGGGGTCGACACTCTGGGACTCATTACCATCAGAGTACAAGGACACCCAAGCCCTTTCCATATAGTTTCGGAAGAATTTCCCATAGCGTACGCTGGAGTCCTTGGATCCGAATTCTTCCAGGAAAACAAAGCAAAATTATGCTACGACACTAGGATGTTTTCATTTAATAATATTATGATACCTTTCGACATACCTCAGACTAAAACAATTTCTCCTGGCTCAGTCACTGCTCTCCCTGTACGAGTAGACAAAAACTCCCAAGAAACCGGCTTTGTACCTGAAATAAGACTGGGAAACAAAATTATTGCTGGGGGAAATATAAGCCTCAACATAGAGGGAAAAACTTTTATAAGGGTTATAAGTCGAAACCAAGAACCTGTCATAGTACCAATTCCTACAGTACGCATTTTAACCTGTCCCTGGATGTCTATCAAAATAGAGCACGACCCATTCAAAGTAGATAACTCGAGCAGCACACAGGCAACTCGCCTAAAGATGCTGAAAAATTGCCTAGACAAAAATAACATACAAAAAAATGAAAGAGTTTTACTCACAATCACAGCTCACGAAAAAACTTACGCTAGAGCTCAAAAATTATTGAAAGAAGTTCATTTTCATGAACTAACCCCAGAAGAACGTGACCCCATCCAAAAAATCATTATTGAAAATCAGGACCTATTCTACTTAAAGGGGGAAACCCTAGGGGCCACCAATAAAACCACACATAGAATTATTACCAGCGACAATATACCGGTGTTTAAAAAACAGTACAGATTCCCTCCTGCTCACAAAGAAGAAATTGCCAAACAAGTCAAAGACTTAGAACAAAGGCAGATAATTAGGCCATCAGAAAGCCCTTACAGCTCACCTATTTGGCTGGTAGATAAAAAACCAGATTCTCAGGGAAACAAAAAGTGGAGGCTAGTGAATGATTACCGAGACTTAAATGCTAAAACAATAGGGGACGCGTACCCTCTCCCAAACATTGTAGAAATCATTGATCAATTAGGGGGAGCAAAATACTTCTCCACTCTAGATCTCGCGAGCGGATTCCATCAGATCAAAATTCACCCCGATGACGTGCATAAAACTGCATTCACCACACCCCATCAGCATTTCGAATATACACGTATTCACCGAGTATCTTAAACAATACATGGACAATAGAGTGGCATGGGACGATCTATGTGAACTGTCTTCGTTTTCATATAACACCAGTGTTCATGAGAGCACGGGCTACACCCCATATCAATTGGTGTTTGGACGACTGGCTAGAATGCCCTCAAGCGACTTAGCCAGAGATTTAACTGACCAGACGTACGAAGAATACTTAAAAGATTTATATCACAGGAACAGAAAAGTTACAAAAAGAGCCGTAGCTAATGTAATTAAAGCTAAAGAGAGATCCAAACGTTACTATGATAGAAAAATAAACCCCCAGGACTTCAAGAAAGGTGATAAAGTATTCCTTCTGAACTTACCACACACTAAGTTAAATAAATTCGCCAATCAATATACCGGGCCATACACCATCTTAGAAGTCCTAGAAAAATCAAATGTAGTATTAGATTATAAGATTAGATTAAACCTTGCACATTATCTGAGAGGCTGGAATAAAAACAGAATCAATCCATTCCAGATGATTGTGCTGCTACTCTTACTACCCCTAGTATCTGGACTGATCGGGTATGACTGTGGTGGACCCATCCTTAACGTCTCTACTTTCTCATTAACCGATGTTGGTGAATGCAAGATCGAAATCACGGAACCAGAACATGTCCAAACCAGAATTTAGTTAGTCCAACTAATTAAGCACAAGTACAATAAGGTCTCCCAATGCAAAGTAGAAATCGATAGAACAATGCACTACTGTGGTATGCACAGCCATACCTCGATCGTCCAGAACGGGAGACGCGAATACATATACGAAATAGATGAATTTACCTGTAAACGCCTACTCGGAACAAATAGCATATCCTTAAACAAAGATGTTAGCATAAATAATTTAAAACCTAATGTCACCAATGACCGCTCAGTAAAACTTGCCGAGAAGTTGAGTGTAGACGGAACATGCAAGGGGGTTGACTAAAATGACCAGGACGGATCCTGGCCCAACGTCGTCGTCGAAGCCCTGGTACGAATCAGCTACATGCAATATGACGCTCCAGTAGACCTGAAAACCAACAAAATCTTACTAAGAACCACTAGTTGCGAGTTTTTTAGCGAATTTTGCGAAGATAACGGATATTATACATTTTGGAAAACCATGCCAATGGACACCTGCGAATTTGAACAATACGCCTCCATTTTTACCGGAATGGCAACTAAGTTCAGCCAGACCAAATACTCGTCAGAAATTTATTCAGTATCAACTCCAGACGTGATTTTCACCCTGAGTATCAGCAGAGAATCTCATATTTGCGGTTACACCATCAAACAAACTGAAGTTCCCAAACTATACGTAATAGAACATCAGAAGGGAATGGAACCACCAGTACTAAAGACAATATCTACAGACGAACTAGATTTATTTGCATATATTAATTCTAAATTCGTATACGTAGAAAAACATCTAAACCTACAAATGAAAAGGCTATACAAAAATACCTTACGACATCGCTGCGAACTAGAGAGAAAGGTCCTCCAGAACATCCTCAGCCTAGCCGAAGTAGCCCCTGATGAATTTGCGTACAGGATAATGAAGGGGCCTGGGTACCACGCCACGATAGCCGGAGAATTAGTCCATCTTGTAAAATGTACTCCGGTCCAGGTCAAACTTGCCAACAGAGCCGAACTGGAATGTTACAAAGAAGCTCCGGTCATATACCAAAACCTATTTCCTAACCAAAAATTCAAAAATTCTTATGAGACATAGCTCCTCATTTTTCTGTAACCCTCTCCTTCCGGTTGGATATAAAATAGATAACAACTGGTATTTCCTAAATCCTCGACTAACATTGGCTCCTACACCGCAGATCCTTAACCCAGACACGAACCCAACCTGGGAGTACAGATCATCTGAGCACCTCAGCACAGCAGGGATCTACAGCTTGCAAGAACTTGAAAAATTACGTGACAGAATAATGTCAAACGTCGAAAAAACAGCTATCCTCGACAATTTTGCTCACCTGGCAGCTGGCAACACCGTACCTCACCCCCAGTTTGAATTCAGAAACTTACTAGATGAACAAACATTGAACCACATGGTCCAGCATACCATCGAGAATGCCTGGAAACACTTCATCGCTTTCGGATCAGTCTCTGCTGGAATCCTGACTATTGTAATCCTCCTAAAATTCCTGAAAGCTATCATAGGAACTATCATTAATGGATATGCACTACATCGTATTTACGGGTGGAGCCTTAAATTATTGGGAGCTATCTTTAGTTCTCTCACCTCATTACTGCTTCATCTGAACGGAAAACAACAAACTGCAAACGACATCGAAATGCAAACACCAGTACCACAACAGACATCGGCTTTAGGACAATTCGACAGGAAGAAGAGTATCCGACTCGAAGGAGTGGACTATGGATTACTAAAGAAGCTTCAGGAGACACAGAGGAACCAATAACCTCTGTATCTCTCTACAACCCCCCTGCTGTTACGTCCTTCCTTCTCGTCAACAACAATCTGAAAACTAAAAATAAATTAGTTAATAAGAAATATTATTGAATTATAATACAGAGATACTTCTATTACAAGGATGCATTTTACTATACGTGGAAACCATAATAATACATTGAAACTAGTAGAATACGAAACATTTATGGATTAACATTGTAAAACAAGCTACAAAATATTATCCCTTTTAAAAAAAAGCATGTAACGTTTCTTGTCAGCTTTTTTTGGCGCTATGCATATCAAAATATATCTATATAATATGATATATATATATATATATATA